GTCCTGTATACTTTTCTTCATTTCATCATGATGTCTAGCTGAGTTTTCTTGTATCTCATTCAGTTTCCTTAGAATTATCACTCGAAATTCCTTGTCAGTCATTTCAAGGGCTTCTTCTTCTATGGGATCTAGAGCTTGAGAGTTATTATCCTTTGGTGGTGTACATTCTTGATTTTTCTTATTTCTGGTTTCTTTTCTTTGATGTTTATTCATTGTGGCAGGGGGTTTCACAGTCCACAGGTTTGACAGTATTGTCTGACTAAGATGTTGCTTTGGTTGCCAATTTGGTATGGCTACCTCAGTGACTGCTCAGTTGGCCACTAGTGCCTTTCGTATGTGGTTGCCTCGGGCCTTGGGCCTCTCCGGGGAGCCACCTCTCTGGTCAGCTTGGACTCTGCTGGGCTGCTGGATCATGCGGCGGTACCATAGGGTGTGTGGTCTCTGCTGAGCTTCCACTTCTTATGCTGGACTTCTCCCTGTTCCGTGCTCTCTGGCCCGGGCTGCTGGGATGTGCCGAGGCACCACAGAGCATGTGGTCTCTGCAGAGCTTCCCCTTCCCCTGCAGGATTTCTCCCTGCTCTGTGCGTGTTAGGCCGGGCTTGGGATGGAGCCAGGTGGCGGCGGTGAAGCCTATCTGCTGCTGAATCGCATCGCGGTGGCCCCCCCACAGGGTGTGTGGACTCTACGGAGCTTCTATCTCCCTTGCTGGACGACTCTGTGCTCCGTACACATTGGGCCGGGCTGCTGGATCGTGCAGCAGCAGTGTGGTCCCTGTGGAGTTCCCGCCTCCCCTGCCAGACGTCTCCCTGCTCCGAGCGCACTAGGCCAGGCTGGGAATGGAGCCGGGTGCCTGCGGGGAAGCCTACCTGCTGAATCATGCAGTGGCGGCCCCACAGGGTGTGTGGTTTCTGCAGAGCCTCCGCCTCCCCTGCCGGATGTCTCCCCACTCTGTGTGCACTGGGCTGGGCTGGGAATTGAGCCGGGTGGCGGCGGTGAAGCCTATCTGCCGGATCGTGCGATCGCGGCCCCGCAGGGCATGTGGTCTCTGCAGAGCTTCTGCCTCCCCAGGTGGACGTCTCCCCGTTCCATATGCACTTGATGTTATGTTTTTGTAGTTTAAATCGGTTGATTTGTGGGAGAGAGTGACGGTAGGGACCGTCTATTCTGCCATCTTGACCGGAAATCCCTTAACAAATTCTCATGCATATTATAGTCATTGTTGCATAATGTGGACATCTTTAGATACCTTTCAGAGGAGTTGCAATAATTGTAAGAGTATAAGGCAATGATTATAATGCAAAGATTATAATGCAGTGGTCCAATCAAGAGTGTGCATCAGAATCAGCTGGAGTGTGGTCTTAAAATACTCATGCTCTGGGCCCCACCCCAAATTTATTGAATCAGAATCTTCAGGAGATAGATGCTGACATGTGCATTTTGATTCCGCTGTGCATACCACTTGTAAAAACCACTAGATATTGGTGAGAGAGCAGGGAACAAGGCTGCTTCACACAGTGTTGGTATGGGTGTAAACTGATATCATACAGCATATAGAACAGTTTCGCAGTATCTACCAAAATTTCAAATCTGTCCTATAAATAGTTTCAAGAATGTTTTCTGTAGACCTGTTTATAATATTAAACAATTGTGAGCATCTAATTGGTTATCAGTACATAAATGGTTATATACATTATGACAGATACCACTGTTTACTATACAACCATTTAAAGAATGAATATGTATGAAAATTATCTATACATGCTTATGTAGAAATATATCTAGGATATACTGGTAAATAAGTCACAGAATGAGCCGTATTTTAAAGAGAATTAGAAGATAATACAAATCTTTCCATTAACTTTTTGAGGTATCCTCATATGTAGAGAAAGATGTAGAATGACCACCGAAGTGTTTATGGTGGTTGTCTGTGGCATAGAAGGGTGGGAACCATGGGTGCTGGGGAGGGACAGGCTTTTTACTTTTGCATTTAAAATCCTGCAATGAGATTTTATTATTTTGTAATAACAAAGAACTATTGGCAAAATATGAATCATTTTAAAGGAAGCTTGTGTGGAAACTAATTTATATGTGTCAGGACACTGCTTAGCAGTTTTAGCTTGAGACTTTTATAACTTGGGCAACAAAATGTCAAAACTATTTTGCCTGTTTGCAAACAGGATAAAATTTGTTATGAAAGTAATCAAGAATTTCAAACAGATAAGCATTTAAGATAAAAAGTATTTGCCCTGTGTCAGAATTATATTGGCTGTCTGTTTTAGAAATATTTAATGTCTATGCATATATGGATATTAAAGTTGGGTTTGAAACATTTTAGTTTAATTCTTTTTCGGTTGATTAGCCTCTAGCCTATGAGGATATTAATGCCGTTTAATCCCCTCTTTTATAATTTTAGGCCCGATGAGAGAAAGGGAAAGTTAAGGATGCTGGAGCAGAACAATGGATTTCTCTTTCTCTTTCATGCAAGGGATCATGGGAAACACAATTCAGCAACCACCTCAACTCATTGACTCCGCCAACATTCGTCAGGAGGATGCCTTTGATAACAACAGTGACATTGCTGAAGATGGTGGCCAGACACCATATGAAGCTACCTTGCAGCAAGGCTTTCAGTACCCGCCTACAACAGAAGATCTTCCTCCACTCACAAATGGCTTTCCACCATCAGTCAGCATGTATGAAACTCAGACCAAATACCAGTCATATAATCAGTATCCCAATGGATCAGCCAATGGCTTTGGTGCAGTTAGAAACTTTAGTCCCACTGACTATTACCATTCAGAAATTCCAAACACAAGACCACATGAAATTCTGGAAAAACCTTCCCCTCCACAGCCACCACCTCCTCCTTCGGTACCACAAACTGTGATTCCAAAGAAGACTGGCTCACCTGAAATTAAACTAAAAATAACCAAAACTATCCAGAATGGCAGGGAATTGTTTGAGTCTTCCCTTTGTGGAGACCTTTTAAATGAAGTACAGGCAAGTGAGCACACAAAGTCAAAGCATGAAAGCAGAAAAGAAAAGAGGAAAAAAAGCAGCAAGCATGACTCATCTAGATCTGAAGAGCGCAAGTCACACAAAATCCCCAAATTGGAACCAGAGGAACAAAATGTAAGTTGAAACATCTTTTTGAAAAAATGTTGTAATCTTTCACATTTACTGGAAGTTCAAGAGATCTTTTTCAGTTTTTATCTTTTCAACTGTGAATATTTCAAATAACTTCTAATCACTAGCAAGGTGCTTAGAATATTATAATAGGTGCTGAGTAAATATTTGTTGAAGAAATGAATGGACATTATTAGAGTGAAGAAATATTTTAAAAATATGTGACACTAAGAATCTTGCTTCTCAAGTTTCTTTGTTCTAATAGTCTTGATTATTTTTATTTGCTTATAATAAATTCCTGGTTTTTGATGATGAAAAGAGATGGTTAATTATTGTTTTTTTTATTATTTTAGACCACCTTTTGCCAGTAGAGCTTAGGTTAACACTCATTACTAATGTGTTTGCTATAAAATAACCTAAGCAATAGAAGAACTCTTTTTATTAAAATCAGCATTATTATTCATATATATTGATTAGAACTTCACATGGAGGTGTTTTTGTTTTTGTTTTGCTTTCTTTTTCTGCTGGGGTCCAGATGGAGTTTTTATAAATGTCATCCTTTACAGGTAACGAAAGATGCATGCTACTGAATTTTTTAATATCTGAGGTTTCAACGTGAATTTGCTTAGCAATAATGTAGTAATAATAGTAAATAGGTAACAAATCAATTCTAGCTTGAATGAAGAGTTCATGATATGAATTGCAGATGTTTCCTAGACATTGATTTGGGAAGAAACTAATATATATTTACTTTTGTGACAGTTATCTGCTTTTATATCTGGTATGCCTCAGTAAGTTAATTTGTTATCTTCTGTTCAAAGAACTATTTCTTACCAACTCATCTTTTTCTTGATAGCTGGGATCCATTACTTCATACAACTCAAATGTGATCTTTTTCTGGAGTAAAGGTCACAAAAATTGTAGACTCTCACAAGCCCCAGTGTGACATTTCAATGTTTTTTCTTATTTTTCTATAGTTTTCTTATTTATGCATTTAACAAACAGTGATTGAACACTATTTATGCATTTAACAAACATTGATTCAATACTATGAGCTAGGTAGGCACTATGCTAAGTATTGAAGGTATGGCAATGAATGAAGAGTAAAGATGCCTCCTCTCAGGGTGCCTTACATTCCAGTGAGGACAGCCAGAAAATACATACATACATGTGTACGTAAGGTTAGATGGTGTGAAATGCTATGGAGAAAAAAAAAACAACTGGGTAATGAGATAGAGTAATCAGTGACACTTTACCTATTCTGATGTCTTAGTTCTGCATCTGTAAAATGAAAGCTTTGGTACTAAATGATTTCTGGAATGCCTTTTAGTTTTTTTATGTCATTTATTAAATGCCTCCCACAGAACCTAGCTCATAGGGTAGCTTAGATCGGCTGTTAAGTAAATGAATAAATGGAAGGAGAGAAATTAGCTTTCTGCTAAGAAATTAGCATTTCTTACCTAAACCTGCAGTGAAACAATATGTGATGCACTGTGACCCTTGGGAATCACAAAAGTACATAAAACTGAATTTGGTTTTAGCTTATTAGTTCTTGTGAATTGTCTTGCTGGCTTGCCCTGCTTCTGCTATAGAGAATCTGACAAGTAGGAAAATAACCCATTTTACTTACTAAGCTAGATTTCTTATCTTTATTGATAAAGTCAGTTAAAAAATTATCTCAAAAATAGGAAAAAGGCTGGAAGCAGGATAAAACAGCCTGTTTATGTTTTGTATTTACTTTCTGCTTTATTAGAATTTAGGGAAAAATTCAGTGCAGTGATGTTTCTAGTAGTCACTTTGCAATGAGATTCTAAAACCAATTCTGTTTTTGTTGGATATCTGCTATGCCTGGCTCTGTATATCGCTTAAACCTTTAGTTAAATGTTATGTAAGGGCCGGCCCGGTGGCGCACTGGAGAGTAACGCTTGGGAACGCAGCGGCGCTCCCGCCGAGGGCTCGGATCCCATGTGGAGACTGGTTCCCGCTCACTGGCTGAGCACGGTGCAGGCGCAACACTGAGGGTTGCGATCCCATTGCAGGTCCCCGGTACAGGTGCGACACCGAGGGTTGCGATCCCGTTATCGGTCAGTAAAAAAAAAAGACAAAAAAGGAAAAAAATAAAAAAAATAAATGTTATGTAAAAGGATTAGAATATTTTGATATAATTTAAGAGTTTTAGTTTATTTTCTTTTTTTAGTGAATGATGCTGAGCATTATTTAATGCAGTCATCTGCCACATAACAATGTTTTGGTCAATGACAGACCACATATAATAAGGTGGCCTGATAAGATTATAATGAACTGAACAGTTCCTATCACTTAGTGACATTGTAGCTGTCCTAACTCCTAACGTCATAGCGCAGTGGTTACTCTTGTAGGAGCAGTAGGCAATACCATATAGCCTAGGGGTGTAGTAGGCTACAACATCTAGGTTTGTGAAAGTATACTCTATGATATTCACACAAAGACAAAATTGCCTAATGACACATTTCACAGAACACATTCCTGTTTTTAAGTGACACATGACTGTATTTGATTATATAGGATCTTAACAATATCTTGAAGTAAAATAAAGAAACATCAGTTTTTGACCAAAGGTATAAATGTAGAAAGTGGCATTGATTGCACTGAACATTACTAAGATGATTGACTGAAAGGTGACTTTTAGGGAGAAATCCAGGTTTTTTCTTGTCTTCTTTTTCTTTCTCTCTCCCCTCTTCTCCTCTACTCTTTCCCCTCCTCCACCTCTTCCCCTTCCCTCCCTTCTGCCTTTCTCTCCCTCCGTCCTCTTTCTTACTTTCCTCCTGTGAAATAAAGTGAAGAGCTAAGTTCTTATTAGTTGAATTTTGATTAATTGAAATTTTATCACACACGGGGGCAATTGTAAGCTTAAGAAATAGGTGCCTAAAAGTTGTACTCCGTTCTGACAACGGAACTTTAAAGCTAGAGCTCCTGGCTCTTGCTTATTGTTAGTATCACGCTTTTGCCAAGCCAAGCAGGTGACTAGCGATGTGCACAGTAATGTTTTGTGAACTTGTACGTTTTAAAATTAGATTTCCTTAACTTGAACAACATCTGCACTGTTTCCTTCAGTACAGTTGTTTTAAGTGTTTTAATTTTTGACACTGTACCTCCTGGTTGTCCATAGGGTTCCCAGCCCTTGGTGTTTAATGTTGTAGAGGTCTTAGAAGTGAAAGGGAACCTAAAGAAGGGTCTGCTGACTCCTCTGGACAACTCCCCTCCCCGAGATGCCTCAGGGAAGCATAATGAAAACTAAATGCTTAGGGGAAAAGTCTGAAATAATTGTCCTTGAGCTGGATTTGCTTTTTATTGATTTTTTCTCATTTTTGTTGTTTTTTGTTCTTTAAAAACCCACTCATAGGTTCTTTTTTGAGCAAAGAAAATTTCTTCTGAAATAATACACTTTTAAGATTTTCTCCTGCTACTTTCAGTACTTGTGCAAGTATTTCCTCCCAATTCTGAGCTGTTTGGCCTTCTAAAGAGTGGCTGTTATTTGGAACAACCCAAGCATATCTTCTCAACAGTGAAAATGAGTCCAAACATCTAGGCAGCAGGAGACCTGAGATCACTACTGAAATTGTATATTTTTAAAATGTGCTTTAGCTGTTTTTCCTCCCACCAAATTAGAAGCATGTGGAAATGTTTCTGCGTTTCTTCCTCCTTGGCAGGTGTAATGCCTCAGGCATGTGAGTGTAGGCCCTATTCAAACATTCATTGGTCCTCCATCAGCTCTTCAGTGGGCTTATCCCCTAAGGCCAGTCTCATTAACTCATAATTTGCCATTTCCACTTAGGAAAAGCTGAGTGGCTGGATCAGTCCCATTAACAGTAAATTAGAAGTTTGGTTCTCTAGCCTCAGAATATTAGGCCTTAAAATTCTTAGAAACTGTTCACATGCAATATGTTTTTTTGTGCACATTTTTTGTTTCTTAAGATTATGAACTTAAGCAGTTATTTAAATAGTAAAAGAAAAATGCACAATTTATTGCCTTTAAATTTTTCTTTCCAACTTTCATGTTGGCGTTAGTGTTTTGTTCTTTTAGAGAATATGATTTTGCTTAATGTTTTTGAAATTCATTTAGGTAATATTAAAGGTTTTAAATTCTGCCAGATTTGATGCATACTGTTAATCTTTATGAATCTCTTGGGTTTTAATAAAAGTACTAGACCAAATTTTTTTTAAGAAATATTTAGGATACTATAATTTATTTTAGCTGATCTCAGCATAATTTTTTCCTTTAAGAAACTTACTGTGATTCCTTCCTGAAAAATAAATTTTTCCATGTGGAATCAACTAAAAATGTTAAAAAGTGGTATATACCCATAAAATTGTTTAAAATTAGGATGAATTGAACTAATGATAAGGAAAGCCAACATTGTCATTGTTTTCTATGATGCTTTTTCTTCCTAACAAAGCAACCAGTTACCAAAAAAGGTGTCTTCTATTTAATGCTAATGTTTTCAGCTTGCCTCTATCCTTTGAACAGCTGAAGGAAAATGGATTTTATACCCAAACTGTTTCATCTTTTGGCATTTTCTTTTTTTTTTTTTTCTTGGCATTTTCTGATTCTCTATTTTTCTTGACTCTAAACGTTTGGTCTCCATTGGCCATTTCTTCTTAAAAAAAAAAAAAAAACTCCTCTTAATTGTTGTTTGTGATAGTAAGCTATCTCTTAGTTTATTCTCTTACCTTTCTTTTGAGCTCAAATCATAGATCTCTAAGTGCCTGCTAGATATGTCTGTTTTGCTCATGCACTAGCATATGTTATAATCTGTATTCTCTCTCTATCATTGCAGCATCCTTGACTTTTTTTCTCTCCTATTTGCATAGTCTTGAGAGCTTAGAATAAAACTTCTTGGGCTTCTTTCTCTCCCTTGCCACCTCTTTCCTTTTAAAATGACTGTATGAAAAATTTCAATTCTTTGAAAGTGATTTTGCCAATGTTTCAAACCATCCTGAAGGAAACACCAACAATCTGGAACAAACTGAAAAATTAATAAAGGTAAGACATTTGAATAATAAGAAGGTTTGAAAGGAAATCCTGTCTTTAATCCAGAAAGGGGAAAATGTGAATGGGTTTTAGATCCATTCTTACAATAGCAGGCTTCTGTTGTATGGAAAAGAGTAGTGTCTCCATATCCATCTGCCATTGTGAAGACTGAGTGTGCTCTGGATGATGACTCACTTTCTGTGCCTCTTCCAGTAGCTCGATTGGAATGAGAAGCTAAGGTAAAGGTTTAAGTTGTACCTGTAGATCAAACTAAAGCTACCACAGAAACCTGTACAAATGTGGACAGTATTTCTAAACTGCTTTATTATTGCACCAGTGATTAGAAGAAAATTTTTCATTTGAACATATATTTTTCTTTCCTTACTCAATGACTGTGTCTTGCTAGATGTTATGGTACCACCACAGAAGCATCTGACAGAGTTCATTTTGTGCCTGTCCGCAAGTTGCCACTTACTTCTTTTCACCTGGATTATTGCAGTAACCTCCTAATGAAACATTCTGCTTCCCTTCTTGCTCCCTTACAAAATATCCCCCACGTAAGAGCCAACATGATTTTTTAAAAACATAAATTGATATGTGTTACTTCTCTTCCTAAACCTCTTCAGTGGCTTTTCATTGCACTTAAAATAATATGCGAACACTTCACTACAGATACAAGGCCCTCATAATTTAGCCTGTCTCTCCACTTTCCACTCTCATCTTGTAACCTCTCTCTTCCTTGGGCAGTTCAGTCAGTTATGCCCTTGAAGTTTCTACCTTCTGAAACCTCAGGTACCACACACATGCTATTCCTTCTTCCTGGAATATTGTTTCCTCCACTTTTTACTAAGCTAATTCCTCTTCCTTTCATATTATAAATTTACTTTCTTAGAGAGGCCTTTTCTGACCTTCATATCTTCTCACTCACACACACACACACACACGTGCGTGCACACATGCACACCATTGTAAGTGGATGTTTGTGTTTCTATTTGGTTAATGTCTATCTTTCCTACCCAACTGTAAGCTCTGTGAGGTTAGGGATCACGTCTGTTTGTTTCATCATTATGTACCCAACTTCTAGAACTGCACCTGGAAAGTCATAGGTACTATTGTTTTCATAAGGAAAATAATTTTATTAATTTTTTTTTTTTTTTTTTGGGCCGGCCCGGGGGCGCACTGGAGAGTGCGCCGCTTGAGAGTGCGGCGGCGCTCCCGCCGAGGGTTCGGATCTCATGTGGAGACCGGTTCCCGCTCACTGGCTGAGTGTGGTGCGGGCGCAGCACCGAGGGTTGCGATCCCATTGCCGGTCCCCAGTACGGGCGCGACACTGAGGGTTGCGATCCCGTTACCGGTCAGTAAAAAAGACAAAAAGGAAAAAATATATATATATATATATTATTTTTTTACATTCTAGGATATTGTTGCAGAGCAGTTGGGAGAGAGGGGGAGAAGAGAAAGGGGAAGGAAATGCGATGGAAGAAGGAGGAAGGAGGAGGGGCGGGATTGAGGCCTGTGGCATCCCCCTCATTCCTACAGCAGAGACCAGGGGGCTTCCTATGGTGGCTTGGTCATTCGTCATTGCTGGGTTGGGAGCAGATGTCAGCGGGGTGTGGTAAAAGCCCTCTCCACCCCCGCCCCCCAGCTCAGGAACCCAGGGACCTCTTGCTGTGGCTTGGTGGTCATGGCTGGGCCGGTTGCATGTGTCAGGGGGGTGTGACTGAGGCCCTTAGCCCCCCACCACCCTGGCTCAGGAGAGCCCAGGGCGCTTCCTGCAGCAGCTTGGTGGTGGTTGCTGGGCTGGCTGCAGGTATCAGGGGGGCATGGCCAAGGCCCGAGGTCCCCCACCACCCTGGCTCTGGAGAGTCTGGGGTGCTTCCTGTGGTGTCTCATTGGTTGTTGCTGGGGTGGTTGGGTGTGTTGGGGGTGTGTGGCCAAGGCCCTCATCCCCCACCCTCAGGACCGGTTGTGGGCGTTAGAGGGCATTGCTGAGGCCCCTGGCCCTCCCCACTTTCTGGCTTGGCAGCCCAGGTGACTTCTGGTCTTTCTAGGTGTTATAGGTATTCTTTGGTGAAATGAAACCTTTATTAGTTAATATCAAACTTTGTCTCTGGTTGCGGGTACTTTGTTTTTTCTTTCCGTTCTGTGTTGGGTTGTTTGCTGTTCCCACCACTTAAACTCTGCATTGGAACTAATTTGTTGTCCTTTGCTTACTTCTAAAATGGGGGGAACTTCCTGTGGGGACCAGTACTTGAGCTGTGTGGTTTAGCTAAATTGCTGCTTTTTTGCTGATTCCCTATGTAAGTCTTTTTGTGCAGCTTGGGTTTTAATGGTTGACTTTATAGGTACTTCCGGGTCTATTGAGATCCAGTGCACTTGCGTTGCATAGAAACTCTGGTCTGGGCCAGAATCTTTTCATCAAACTGCATCCCATGCACTTCTGTATTCCTGACCAGTCTCCTCTGAGTGGTCCTATGCCGATTGGGGGGCAGATCAGCTGTCCTTGCTGTGTCCCAGTGTTCTCCCAGTGGACCCATCTCCCCCACCGCCCGTGCTGCAAACACTTCCCTTGGGACAGGCCATGCGCAGGTCCCTTGCAATGACTCACTGGCCTCTGAGTGGCTCCTTTTTTTTCAGTTGTTGTGGCTCCTTGTTCCTGCGTGGGTCCACGGGAACCCTATTAGTGGTCTTGCTGGCCCCGGGGGCCACCGAGGCTCTCTTCTCTCCTGCCGTCTTCAAGCAACTTTATCCAAAGGGCAAGCCTGTGGCTTTTGCCAGTTCCTGCTCTGTGTGCTCAGCAGCTCCAGCCTGGAAGCAGCTGGGGCTCAAAATGGTCAGAGTGCTTTTTTCTTTCTCTCATCGTGGCTTCTCCCACCTTCATGCATGGGCCTCTCCTCCTCATCCCCTGAGCTCTGGAGGCCCCAGGTTGGCTGTTGTTGCTTTTTTATAGTTGTAAATTAGTTGATTTGTGGGAGAGAGTGGCGCTGGGGACTGTCTATTTCTCCATCTTGACTGCAAGGTCCATAGGCACTATTAAATGAATGAATGAATGATATTTGGGATTTGGTATATTAGCCTGGCTTACATAAAATATTTTCCTAACAGTTAGTAACCTTTATACTTTCTTTTATTTAATAAAACTGTGTTTTCATAGCATTGCCTTTAAAGGTCTTGAAATAATTGAATGAGAATTTTAATTAGCTTTTTATATTAACCATATTCTTTTATTGGAGTTAAGACTGAATTTAATGGATGTGTACCCTCTTTTTAAGCCATCTAAATTAAATTCTGTTCTTTGAGAAGTGAGAAATTTTAAAAATCTTTTAAATTCTTGAAATAATTTTCTTTTTACAGAAGATACAGGTAACACAAATATATGGAAGATCTTTTCCCTAATCTTACTCCCAAAGACAATTACTGTTATCAGTTTGGTTTACATTGTGCCAAATACTTTTAAGGTATATATAGACTACATTTAAGTAAAAAGTTGGACAATGTTGATAGACATACGGATTACTGACATTAAATAATACAGTAGATACTATCCCTTTGCTTAGATTTTCTCATTTTGTGTATTTCTGTAGGATAAGTTCCTAAAATGTAATAGCTAGATTGAAGAATATACATATTTTGAAATTTGGTAGATATTTCCAAATTGCCTCCCCAAAGGGTAGTAGAAATTAGTTTTTTAAATAATATACTGGGGGGGGGGTGTGTTATGATTTAAAAGTCATGTAATATTTTATTATAGACAATTTGACAAATATAGAAAAGCACCAAATAAACCAAAAAAACCCACTTATTTCATCACCTGGTAATAGCCTTTTATGTCCTTTTAGTCTTTTTTTCTGTGCACATGAAAAAAATTATTTTTCCAAGATTGGAATCACACTATTCAAACTGCTTTGCAAATTACTGTTTCAAATAACATTATAATTAATGTCATTTAAAAACATATTTATATTATTCTACTTAGTTATACTATAAATTTATTTAATTCTACGTTCTTGGACATCTAGGTTGTTTCTCATACTTTGCTCTTATAAATAGCACTGATATGCATATCATCATACTTATATATATATTTTTACAACTCTCAGTGCTTTTTCACTGCACCTTCTTAGAAGTGGATTTGCTGGGTTAGAGTCTGAGAATTTAAGGCTTTTCATACATATTGCCAAATTGCTCTCCAGAAAAGTTTCAAGTTACATCTTACTAATAACCTCAGAATTCCCATTTTTCTGCAATCTAATAGGTTTTAAAAAAATTAGTTTAATTAGAAATTAAGTTTTAAAAGTAATCGAATGAGAAACAGGAGCTATAGCTATGGTATGGTATGGAAAATGAATGTTATGACATAGCTTCATGTACTGAATAAGTTATATTCTTACTCCTTACCTTGTTCAGTTAATAAGTTTATTCTCTTAGCTATTTAGTTTTCTTTGATTCTTTTTCTGTATGTCACTGTTCTTTGGTTTACTGCCATTTTATTCTAATCACCTATACCTCTTTGCTTAGAGACCAAATGAGAGGGTTGACACTGTATCAGAAAAAACAAGAGAAGATCCAGTACTAAAAGAAGAAGCCCCAGTGAGTTGCTTTATTGAATACTGTTTAACTAAATATGGTGTAAGAAGGTGAAAGTGGACTGATTAAATTACAACACATTGTATTATTACAGTTCCGTACTTTATTCCAGAAATTATACTGAAATAAGTCTTGGAGCTGGTTTAAGAGGTAGATATTTTCAGTGAGTTTATTTTCCTTTTCAAAATTATGACCAGTTTTTTTTTACTGATCATGGGAATTGACAAGATGCCTTATCAGTAATTTGCCAACAGAAACCATCAATCCTGTTTTTGGTATTTGGGGTTGGACCTATATTTTTGTCTCCTGTCTTCTTCCCATTTTCTACTTAGAGATACTAGGTATCAGAGAAAAGAATAATTGAAGAAAAATTTTACATTGGTAACATTTTTAATGTTCTTTGTGCATAGTTCTATTTTTTAAGTTTCTCTTCTGATGGAGTTTTTTGACCTTTTCCTGTAGGTTCAGCCGATACTATCTTCTGTTCCAACAGCAGAAGTGTCCACTGGTGTTAAGTTCCAGGTTGGTGATCTTGTTTGGTCCAAGGTTGGAACCTATCCTTGGTGGCCTTGTATGGTTTCAAGTGATCCCCAGCTCGAGGTTCATACCAAAATTAACACAAGAGGTAAGAAAAGGCATAAATAGATACTAAGTAAAAGGTTAGAAATAAATAAAAGTGAACTTTTAATGTTATATGCAAATATAAGAATACACACATAATACATAATCTGACACAAAAATATACTTGTACATATCTATACCCATTTTTAATAACCAGTGAAATAATTATTGTCATCTTAACTGGCAGAAAGCCTTTATAACTGGTGTAGTCCTTGTTTTCCCTTATATCACCCTGCATGTGTTTATGATTTCTTTCATACTTCTGTTTTTAAAGAACTTAATCTGACCAACCGTTCACATTTTCTAAAGAAAGCATGTAGATAAGTGATAAGATGTCTTCTGTGAGCTTAATAAGCATTTGGGCCAAGCCTTCTTTGAACATTTTTATTTCATCGTTGACGTTTATGAGTAGTAATTGTTTACCCAGACAAGTGCTTCTTATCTTGGTAAGTTTTGCAGGATACTTTTTTTCTCCTGTACTCTATTATTGAATCTATAAATTTACTGGGGCACCCTTATAAATTTCATATGAAATGGAAGTATAGCTGTGTAACATAGAATCCAATCGTAGGAATGATAAAAATTAAGAAAAAATGTATTCTAAGTTTTCTCTACTTTTTTGGGAGGTTTGACTAAAACATTATGTGGATTAAATTCCTGATTCTAGCATTTGGAATGGACTTGCTTAGTATCCAAAGGAAGGTTTGAGATTGAAACTTATTTCTGGGTATTTACTTTGTGAACTAACTCTTATCCTGTTTCTCATTGTCTCTGACAACTTTGCACCTCTTTCTTTTTCTTCCTCCTTAAATTCTCTGTTTTGGTTCTTGGTCACTATTATGAGGAGAAAAAATGTTTACTTAAGTCTGGTGAGTCAGATTTGTGGCAGGATCAGTCATTTTTTATAGCCAGGAATCTGCCCTGGTATAGTAGGCAGTTCAGCTTAACTGTTTTTCATCTTGTCAATATTAGTGCTGGTTAAAGGTTGGGAGAGTGGAAGCATTAAGGGGGTAGAAATGAAAAAAACCAACATTGTTGAATGTCTACTTTTGTGAAGGTACTGTGTTAAGCAATTCTCTTATACATTTTCTTATGCTATCGTCATAGCAGCAACACTATGAAGTAGATACTTTTGTTACCCTATGTTTCAGATAAGAGTTTAAAGTCTTAAAGAAATCTTATTTCATAACCTCTCCTCTTAAACACCACTTCGTAGTAGAGGGAAAGCCATTGAATTCACCCAGTCATAATTTACAGAAGTTGGGGGGAGGCAGTCCTAGTTCCTTCATTTATATGAGAAGGGTGTTGGCCTCATAGTCTCTGAAGTACCTTGCAGGTCTCATCTATGGTTCTGTGAGTGGGAAAAGAAAAGGACAAGGATTTTCCACAAAGGCCCTGCCTTCTTAAATAAAACAATTCATGTCCATATGTGGGCCTCCAGAGCTCTCTAAGAAATTGCATCATGTGATAGTTGTGGCTCTTCAGTTATCTCCCCTTAGGAAAGCATCCTTTTGAAATTATATAAAGAGTTTCACATTTAATTACTTTGTGAAAACCTGCTAATTTCAGCTTTTTTATGCGATACAAATGAAAGCACAATTTATGCCTCCTCTATTTCAAAGGAAGCATTTAAATTTAGTTTTATTAATTAACCATATCTGGTTGCGTACCCCCTAGGTACTCCTTCTATTTTAGTGCTGGAAATCCTGGTTTTGTTTGTATTACTACCAGAAATCTGAGAATTTAGGTTAAAAAAATAATGCATATTTTGATAAAACTACTGCAGTAGTTCTTAAAAAATGATACTTTATTGAGATATAATTCACATGCCATAAAATTCTAGTACCTTCACAGAGCAATCTTCATCACAATCTAATTTTAGAACATTTTCACCTCCTCCTAAAGGAAATACTATATCCATTAGCAGTCACTCCTCATTCCCATTCCTAGCCATAAGCAGCCAGTAACTACTTTCTGTCCCTATAGATTTACCTACGTGACTTCTTTCACTTACCATAATGTTTTTGAAGGTCATCTATGTTTTAGCATGTATCAGTATTTTATTTCTTTTTATTATCAAATAATATCCCATTGTATTGCTGTGTAGTATAGTTTTTCTGAAAACCGAAAGACACAGCATGAAAATTTTGTTGATTACGTTTCATACATCACTCCTATGAAGCATTTTGTATTGCTTATTGTCTAAGCTATATACCTTGATCATATATAGTAATCATTGGTTTCCATATTGTTATTAGTTAGTACTGTTCTTAGTCAGATTCTTAGCATTGGAAAATGTATTTAACGGTTTTTCACACATAACAATGTAATAATTCTTTGTAAGAGCATGTTGAAAGATATTTGGATCATATTTACATTTTAAGTTGTATTTTATTGTTTAGGTCTCATTTTAAGCTTTTAGAAGTTAAAAATTAAATGCTTTTTCTGCTTATAAAAATATTGCATGTTCATTGGGAAACATAAAATTTTACAAAAATATATATGGTAGAAAAGGAAAGGTGTCCATAGTCTCTCCCTCCAGATAAGTAACTACTATTAAAAGTTTGGGGGTAACCTTTTTTCTCTGTGTTTATTGTAATTAATAAATATGTAAATAAAGATTTTTACTGAGAGTTTTAAATGATATCACATGATACCTGTTTTTTCTTTTAATCCTAGCAGTACTTTAAGTTTAGAGCTAGTTTTATCTTTGCGTTACTTTTCTTATATAAAGATATTTCCTATAACATTTTTCTTTTGAAAATTTAGTTTATTCAGAGACAGATGTGCTTGTTTCCTGATTTTTTTAGGTCTTCAGGTGTTTTTTTTTTTTTTTGTCTTTTGTCTTTTTCCGTGTCCGGCAACGGATCGCAACCCTCAGTGTCGCCCCCGTACCGGACCGGGACCGGCTACGGGATTGCAACCCTCGGTGTTGCTCCCGCACCTCGCTCAGTCAGTGAGCGGGAACCGGTCTGTATGTGGGATCCGAACCCTCGGGCGGGAGCGCCGCCATGCTTCCCAAGCGGCGCACTATCCAGTGCGCCACCGGGCCGGCCCAGGTCTTCAGGTTTTTATTTCACTATTATTTTATAGTTTTCCAGTCAGAGGAAACAAAGTTCTAACATATAGGCAGATTGTTTGACTTGTTTCCTCCCTAGTAAATGATTTAATGGAGCAAGAAGTTGAAAATACAGATTAAAATGAGATTTTGTTACCTGTAAGTTTCAGTTTTCATGTTTTTAACTGTAATTTAAAGTCCTTTGGGATTATTTGTTTGCCTCTGAAGAAATAATTCTGACTTTGGGACACTGATTATGACCTATGTTCTTTTTGTCCTACTACTTGTACCTGCTATCCCATCTTCCAAGCTCATCCATTATTTTAGGTTATATTTCTGTTTTTCTCCCTGAAAACCCTTGGATTTTTGATAAACCTTCTTTGATTAATTATAATTAGATTTGTGCTTGGCTTTTCCTTCTCAGATTAAATGAAGAAATCCAAGTTGTGCGTGTTTCTCTCTTCTCAGACTATTTTATATATAAAATTTTAATCTGGTTTCAAAATAATTCCGTAGATAATCTTTCATTAATGTCTAATAAAATTCAGAAATTTCAAATGTAATTTATAATTTATAGATTTCAGATAACTAAGTCAGTTCAATTTAGGCCTTTAGTCATACTAATCAGGATCCACTTGTTGCCTTTCTTTTCCTACCCACATTATCTTGGATTACCAGAGTAGACCAGTTCCTACATTTCTCTATTGAATCTGATATTTTGTCTGTAGAGCAGTGTTTTTCAAAACGTAAAAGATTAGTTTTTGTTTATTTTTTCTAAAAATGTCCAATCTGTTATGGACCAATACTTCTATAAAATACAGTAAAACTTAACTATTAGAATAAAAGCCCCCAGTACATAGTACAAGAACCCCAATCCTGTGTCTAAATGTCATGACAATGACAAATTATTATTGTAGTTTCTAAATGCTCACTCTCAACTTCTGGATTTATTTTGTCACAGACTGGCTTGTTCATCAAATCATACTTTCAGAGTAGCACTGCTGTCAGCAGCAGTTCTCAAATATTTTGGTCCCAGGACCCCATTAACTCTTAAAATTTTGAGGATTCCATAAAGCTTTTGTTTATGTGAGTTATATCTATTATTATTTATTTGAACTTAGGAATTAAAGCTGAAAAATTTTTTAATATTTTCTAATTTATTTTAAAATATCCCATTATATGCTATTATTATGTTTTTATGAAAAATAACTACTTTCTCAAAAAATTAATGAGAAGATGGTATTGTTTTACATTTTACAAATCTCTTTAAAGTCCGGCTTAAATGAAGATATTTGACCAGTTAACCCAGTTGGTTAGAATGTGGTGCTATTCTGGGGTCGGGACTCCCTCTTCAGCAAAGGGTGCTGGGATAACTGGATATCCATTTGCAGGAGATTGAAACTAGACCCATACCTCTCACCATATACTAAAATCAACTCAAAATGGATCAAGGATTTAAATATACACCCCGAAACAATAAAACTTATTAAAGAAAACATAGGAGAAACCCTTCAGCAAATAGGGCTGGGCACAGACTTCATGAATATGACCCCAAAAGCACAGGCAACCAAAGGAAAAATAAACAAATGGGACTATATCAAACTAAAAAGCTTCTGCACAGCAAAAGAAACAATTAACAGAGCTAAAAGACAACCAACAGAGTGGGAGAAAATATTTGCAAAATACACATCCAACAAAGGACTAATATCCAGAATATATAAAGAACTCAAACAACTTTACAAGAAAAAAACAAGCAACCCAATCAAAAAATGGGCAAAAGAACTAAGTAAGCATTTCTCTAAAGAAGATATGCAAATGGCCAACAGTCATATGAAAAAATGCTCAACATCACTCAGCATCCAGGAAATGCAAATCAAAACCACACTGAGATACCATCTCACCCCAGTTAGGATGGCAAAAATCCAAAAGACACCGAAAGATAAATGCTGGCGTGGCTGCGGAGAAAAAGGAACTCTCTTACACTGTTGGTGGGAATGCACAATGGTGCAACCCCTATGGAAAATGGTTTGGAGGTTCCTCAAACAGCTGAAGATAGACCTACCATACGACCCAGCTATCCCACTCCTGGGAATATATCCAAAGGAATGGAAATCATCAAGTCGAAGGTACACCTGT